CAAATAGTCGATAATTTGAACTATTACCGTCATAACCGACAAAAACTAGGTTTCCCGATTTGTTTTCAAATTTGGTTCTCAACTGCTTTGGCACATGGGAAAATGATTGGCTACCGAATTTCTTCAAGTGACTGAGTTTGAGCTGTTTCCCAGTCCACATTTCGAACGGTGTTTTGTCATCATTTTGCTTGCAGGGTCTTCTGTTGAGAATGTATACCGCTGTATTCACGGCCTCTGCCCATAATGATTTTGGTAGAGAAGTTTCATTCAGCATCGCTCGAGCACTATCAACAATCGATCTCAGGTCCCTTTCGGCTTCGCCATTTTGTTCTGGCGTATATGGAGCACTAGTTTCGTGAATTATACCGGTTTTCTTGAAGTAATCTTCGAAACTACGATTCACATATTCCTTGCCGTTGTCAGTGCGAAGAATTTTGATGTTATTTCCAGTCTGCCGTTCAATAAGCTTCTCAACTTCCAGGAACTTGGAAAAGACGTCGGATTTGTGTTTGATGAAATAGACTTGGCGGTAGGAGGTACACTCATCCTTGAATAAAACGAAATATTCCGCACCACCCAAAGAAGTTGTAGTCATTTTGCCACATACATCAGGATGGATGAACTCGCCTTGCTTGTATTGATGAGGTGTACTCTTACTGAATGGTTTTCTCTCTTGTTTTCCATATTGACATGATTCGCAGAAGAGTCCAATAGAATTTTTGATTCTGAGATCAGGAATTTGTCCTCGATCGGCCATTTCCTTCAGTGTTCCAAAGTTCACATGTCCCAAACGCTCGTGCCACAGTTGGATGGGATTTGTTTCAGCTATATTGACTTGATCGATAGTTGACATTTCGAAAAACATTTCATAGCAGTGGTTGGGTTGTTTCATTCCAAGAGCAGATAGATTTTCTCCAAAATACACTTTTATGAACTTTCTGTCGAACATGACTTTGAAGTTTTTATCTGTCACTGCTCCCACTGAAAATAAGTTCTTGCCGAGTTTTGGAACATACAGGGTGTTTTCAAGAGAACGTAGTTCCCGACGACCATCGATTACAGCAAAAACTTCGATGCAACCCACAGCTTCGGCATATACGAAAGAGTTATCGCCAATTTGAATGGGTGTTGGATGAACCAGAGACTTGAGATCGGTAAACCATTCATGATGAAAAGTCATGTGTTTCGAAGCTGCACTGTCTGCAAGCCAAATATTTTCACAACCCTCTATATTGATGTTCTTTTCTTCTGCACTGAACGCTTGAAATTTCTGCACTTGTTTGTCTTCCTCTGCTTTACTGGCTATTTTCGCCAACCTTTTTCTACATTCTGCTTTCACATGACCTCTCTTCCGGCAATAGCAGCAGAATGGTATTTGCTTCTTCTTGAATTGTGGTTTTTCAGAGGTAGTGCTACTTTGGCGACTAGGACTTGGTTTATTTATGTTGACAGCAGCGAAGGCTGAAGTCATTTCATCAGCTTGGGTCAGCCGTAACTCTTCTTTCAGTAACCGTACGGTTAGATTGTCGAAGGTTTGCTTATTTTCTTCAAAGGAATCCCATGCTGAAATGAACGGTCCGTACTTTGGTGGCAAACTGCCTAAAACTTTGGCTATTCGGTCGATATCTTTAACCTCTTCTCCAACATCACGAAGTGCTTGTGCCATCGACTCGATTTTACTGATATGTTGGGCAATACTATCAGTATACTAGCCATTTGATGATTGAAGAATTTCTGCTTCAGCGTTACTTTGTTGACTGCAGATCGTTGCTCGTGAATTATTTTCAATCTTGACCACATTGCAGGAGCTGTTTCGCACGTCATGATGGTTTGTAATTGTTCAAATTCCATTGACACTGATATAAGAAGCATGGCTCGGGCATTCATTTCTTCCCATTCCTTCTTGATATTGGGCTCAGCATCAAGGGCAGGACGTTCAGATTTCTCAGTGAACAAGATTGACAAGCCTTCAACTTTGAATATGATTTCCATTTGATATTTCCACAGCTGGAAGTTTTGACCATTGAATTTCTGAATATTTAGATTCTTCATCTTGTCCATGGTTTATTCGCTGGATTGGAGCCTCTGAATTACAGGGATCAGCGAATTTTCACACTGACAGTGACACTGATGAGTTCTTGGATTTGGATTATACAAAAATACACTGGGCACACTTATTTATCTTCAGTTTTCGTAATCTGGGCCCATAACCTCTTGTGAGTTATGAATTTACAGGAAAATACTCAAAGTGAATGGAGCTTTAATTATTTTATAAAACATAAAACAATGTACTAACGATATATCAATAATAAATATATCACCTAAGAAACCCATAAGGTAAAGTATACGAAGTGAACATAGTATTAACAACACTTTGTTTGCTCCTGCTCGGGCAAGTGAGTCTGACTCTTCATTACCCTCGTAACCTGTATGTGCTGGTACCCATGCTAGAGGCAGTCTGTTCTGACTGCCCAGTTCATTTAGGGTTTCTGAGCAGTCCCATATACTAGCTTTGAGTTAACTTGCATTGAGTTAACTGCTTTGATTGCCGCCTGGCTATCCGGCTAGATTGCAATGATCTTCCCTTCAAACTCGTGCCTTATCAATTCTTTTACGCAATGATGTATTGCAATAGTTTTGTCTGAAACACCGTCGCGTATTTGTCTGAGCTCAGTGAGATTCTTGTCTTTGGCTTGGCCCCATAAATACCTGATCCTGGCCCAGAACTTATTCGAGAAAAGGCACAATTATTTGAATGGTTCTCGATCCAATAGCCACCGATGAAAGTACTGACGTTTCAGTTTCTTATAATTATTTGTTCGTGGAATCGATGAAATGTATGTGAGGAACTTTTACAGTAATGTTGTTTGAAATGAACGACTACCGTGGAAGATCTATTTCGTCAATTAGAACAAGCGTTAGTTTCAATGCGATTACCATCGAAAAAATTGGTGTGTAACAACTGACGGAGACAGAAACATGGGTAGATAAAACGAGGACCTGGTGGGTAACATTAAAAACTGAAATGACAGAGATAGAATTACTGTTTCATTGCATTATTCACCAGGAAGGTTTATGTTGCAAAGCCTGGCATGGCAAGAAATAATGAACGTTGTGAGTTGAAGAGATTTGCTCTGTAATTAATTACAATTTTTGGTAGTACTTACTGATGCGAACAAATCTTTTCGATTCTTAATTGGAAAAAAAAGCTTCTCGTCTCACAGATGAACATTTAAGAGCTATCTTACGGATTGCAACTACAAACCTAGGAGTTAGCATACAAGAAATATAGCTACTCAAATACAGCCTCAAACGTCACACTAATTCTTGTAGAATACCTAACAGTTCTAGCTTGAAGTTCTCGTAAAAATGTTTAATGAATTTCGAATAAAATTCTTCCATATTTTCAATATCACAAGTACACCTATGATCAGAATAATGAACAACTACGGCCCGCCTTTGATTCAATTAGCCGTTATGGGGCGTTACCGCCGATTATGGGACCTTTGCCTGCCAAATAGCTAGATAATTTCTCACTACTCGAGCGACGTGAGGCCTGGCATATATTTTGCATCAACAAAGTTTCGAAATCTCTCGATATCGCCTACTTTGTGAAAAATATAGCGAGGCGTGGAAGAATCTTGCTGAATTTTCGAAGTTTCAAACCAAATTTACAGGCATCATGACACATTTATGTATGTTCACATTTTGATTTTCACAATTTTTTGTGTAAATGGAAACCGTGCGTTATATTTTCGACTTTCAATGGTGAATTCATGAACGACACGAAGTCCTAACTTGAGAAAATCCTGTGATAATAGTTTATTTACTCACCTTTGGTACATAAATTGAAACGAATGTTCGGAATTTCGAATAGACCTCACACATTGCAGCAAAGTCAGTTCATATGATGATAGCATAATATACTCACTCAACTAATATAATATCAATACCTGCTTAATGCTCTTATACATTATTATTCATAGTATTTCTATTTGAAATAACAAATAATTCATGAATATTCGGAAAACTTGAAACGTGACACTAGTGACAGATATGTCGAGTCAGGATCAAGATGTTTCCGCACGGATTATTTGTTACGCCTTGTCTGGTACGCGTCCTGTCTCTAAATGCTTCTATTCAGCTATTATTGACTAGGTGCCTCATCAACGGGACACCTCAGGTCCCGAAAGAAGGAAAAGACATCCTTGAAAGTTCAGTTCAACTCCATAATAAGATTCGAAGCGTATTTTGAAATTTTCCAAGAAATTCTCTATCTATCGTTCACGCCATATCTGTACCTAATCGAATATGAGAACCTCACCTTCCGAACTCGCCTCCAATTGTTCATGTCGAGAGTTAGTCTGATAAAACAGTTGAAGATTGAAGAGTGGCACATCAGAGGAATTAAAAACATCCCAATCCTAACACTACGTGGCTTGAAAAGTCTGCAATATGTACCTTTCAGCTGTAAGCTGTAAGGCTTCTATTTATGATCACAATAAGTTGCATGCGGCCAGTCAGAGAGATGCCTCCCCATACCAGGACTGCTGCTTCTTAGATGCTTATAATGCTAATTGAATTCAATAAAATCATGTAATGCTGTCAAATTGTGTTTCTTGAGTAAAAGGAATGATAATGGAGTGAATCCAAAAAAGGAATGTTGTAAAAAGATGAGACTGAAGTGTGATTCCAATTATATATTGATATTGTAACTGTACAGGGTATTTCATGAAAAATGCTATAACTGCTGCACCCAGTATTCATAAAAAAAGGTTATTATGCGAATACAGTTTGAACGCCAATATTCAAAGGGAGATGAACCTGTCATTCAAAACAAAGAACGTCCAAATCGGACAGGCAGTTTTGGCGAAATTGTATCTCAAACTTTTGAATACTTTTTTGTGATGCGTTAATTCTTTGGGGAAGTGTAGTTCTTTCAATTCTCAATAATGATAGTAGTGGTACAACATTAATAATCATTTCAAATATTTATGTAGGTTATATGATAGAGAAGGAAATGGTTACATCACAACTGGGACTCTCAAAGAGATTCTTGCTGCTCTTGATGACAACTTGACCAGTAGAGATCTAGATGGCATCATAGCTGAAATTGATACTGACGGATCAGGCACCGTAGATTTCGATGGTAAGTTATTGTGATATCGATTGGTTGGAGAATTGAATGTTTATTCAACGTTTGCGTATTCTGACTCAATGAACTTTGTTACAGAATTCATGGAAATGATGACTGGAGACTAAGCTCCTCATCTGCAGCTTAGCCTAAAATCTCTAAGAAACTACTAAATAGACTAATATTTTAGTATTTTAACACGATTCCAGTTTACATTACCTGATAAAAGACAATGAAGATCTATACAAATACATAATATTTAGTGTAACGTTATTCCTCCTCTTATGTGTCGAATACATTATTTTTTTTGAATATTCTGTTTCATTTCTTTTTATTTCGAAAATCCTATATGACATTCTATACAGACTACATTCTTCATATATGTCGTACTACTATTAGCATCTCGAAGACGACATGAATGAAACGAAGTTAATCAAATTAGGAAAAGGTGAAGTTCAAGTGAACAATGAGAACATGTTTCCCAATCGGAAATATCACCAACGGCTTTCAAAATATACGGGGAATATTTACCGAAAATTGTCATTTTATTATTCGGACTATGAAAATGGAATTTTTGGGCTGGAATTGTAACCAAACCCATCTGGGTGTTGTCTAAATATGGAACTTTATAACCATATTTCATGTGATCGTCTAGTATTTATCATGTTCGAGAAGTATCGAGATTCAATTCGACACCTCTCAAACATGTTCCCACGTTGTGTATTTTTTTTATATAAGTTCGTGGATACAGAGTTCTGCGAAGGTAGAAAAGAAATGAAAATCGAGTATGAATCAAGAGTATTTATTGACCACGCATCTCTTTATAATGCAAATTGTACGATGTGAAGTTGAGTGAATTAGCAAAAAGCAATCAAACCCTCTTCACTGCTCAACCAAGACTCAGTAGCAAAAGTTTATGTTGGTATTAGCTGATCAATTGCTCAGATGGACTATGCTTGCATTCCTCTCGGTTTGCCTTTTGGCTTTTTCAGTAGAAGGATCGTCTCCTGTCGGGATTAAATAAGAGTGGTTGCAAGCCACCTCCGAGTTGTACACCAGCTACAGGAACGTCCAAGTCAGTATGCCTACTGTTAATATGAAAGAATAAGGAGATGATACGCTTCTACAGTACCATCGATCAATTTGACCACTCATTGTCATCTATAAGCACTTAGCGTCAAACGTTCGTGAATTGGTAGAGTTTTTTCCACAAAACAGACTCTTCCTGCCTTTGTAGTTGGAATAAATCGATACAAATCGAAATCCAGATCACTTACCAAGCTTTCTGATGTTGTTACAAAGCACAACACTGCATAACCCAGTATCCAACAAGGTCTTACCATACCTGGGATACGATCCAAAGCTTGAGTGATAGAATTTATGATCTCGTGATGATTTGTTACTTTTTCCTCTGATGAAAAATGCAACTACTCATAGAAATTGGACCCTCATTCATGGAGTCATGAACTGAATCACTAACTATAATCCTCAAATAAGTAAATGACTTCCAAAATGAATCAATACTCTTGTTCATGATGAAATATTCTACCAAGCGAACTGGCTTGGGTCGTTACAAAATGGAGTGAAAAATAACTGGTAAGATACATATCTGAAGTTAGTAAGTTAATATATACTTGAATTCACCTAAATATAGTATTCATAGGCATTTATTTCATCATCTCAAGTTTCAATCTTTTGAGTTGACCCGCTTAAACAATAAAAAGGGAGGGGACATAAAAGAAAAGCACTGAACCTACAGGCCCGGATTAGAAATTTTGACGCTATAAGCAGCACATATTTTGCTGCCCCTGGTACAAATTTCTGGTTAGGTTCTAATTTTTCATATCATATTGTGAAAGAACATACATATACTTTCAATAGTCAGACAATAAGATAAATGAAATATACGTTACAGAACATATATAGTTGAGACGAACGGACTAGTTGAAACACTAATATTGAAAAAAATGGCTCAAACATTCCATTTTTTTTCTCCAAATTCGTTCCAATTTTATGTGAAGTCCAAATAATCCATCATTTAGTGTTCACCCAAAGTCATCCTCAATTTTGATCACCAATCACCAATTTGATTCAAATTATTACTTGGAACCTTTCCTTCCTAGGCACTACCTACTTTTTCTGCCTAGGAAGTAAAAGTACTATATACACTTTTTCTGCTTGTCAAGTGTCATTGAAAAGCCACTTTCAGATTTGGAAAAAAAGATATAATAATAATTTGAATCAATTTGGTAAGTAACCAAAATTGACAATGACTTTGGGTGAATATAAAATGATGGATTATTTGGACTTGAAGCCTTGTTGTTTCTAGATTTGTTTCAATTCCACGCAAAGTCCAAATAATCCATTATTTTGTGTTTGATTTTCGATTACCAAGTTGATTCAAATTATCAAGTGATACGATGCATAGCAACACACTTTTTTTGCCTGTTGAGTGTCATTGAAAAGCAACTTCTAATGTAATTTGGAGAAAAACAACCATTTTTTGAGCTTGCAGACAATGGAAATGGCCAATGTAAAGATGAATAGGCGAGTGGTGTATTTTTTTCATTACTTTGATTACTTACATTACTTGATTATAATTGATGACTTGACAACCTTGCTTCATGAGTGGGAATGTAAGATTATCTGACCAATAACGGAACAGCATAAAAACAAACGACGGCCAGTTATCCCAAATGATATTCCTGATAAAATCGCTATCTTCAGGATACATTTTATGACAGTGGATTGATGAATGATTATTCCTATTCATTATTGCAATCAAATCAATTAAAAAAATATATTTGAAATATTCAAAATACAAACCGACAACAATCAAATATTATATCACTGATATCGAAACGATTGGAATAATATATCCTAGCTTGTTTGGGAATGTCATCTTTTTCAATGAGTTTTTCTATATTTTCAGCAATTCTGCTTCTAGAAGAGACTCGGAGATTTCTCTCAAATCACCATTAGACACTGAATGTCGCAGACAACCTATATGATCTTGATTGATTGGATTTTTATTGCTTTCATCTCTATTTGGGGAAACGATATCGAAATTTCGTATGATACGACACTGGCTGACGTGTTTTGATCACTAGGTTTAAATTGTCTTTCACACATCTCGAAATGTCTCACCATTGTAAAAAGTCAACAATATTGTGTTATTTACTCACAATAGCTAAACGAAACAGAGCACAATTTCAGGAAATAAGAAAAATCCTCGGAAAAATCGTACCAAATAAAACGTAAACAATACAAAGTGTTGATCGCTGTCGACAAGATGACCAGAATATTTATGAATCACTATGGACTGATTCTTCAGAATTTTTATTATATCTAATCTGACTTACAGATAAATGCATGTGTTGAACTAGGTTCATAAACTGATACAAAAAACGAAGATGACGTGACATTGATCATTTTTAATTCAGGCGGCATGACAACACTGGCTGCGATTGGGAACTATTATTATAGTTGATGTGCGAATTCTTGTTAGCATCAGAATATTTGTTACCTATGTCTTCCTTCTAGGGGGTTTCTTGTTCGGAGATCTCCTGAATCTCTAGATCTGAAGTCATTGATGATGGCTTTGTAGGACAAAGAAGGATCCGTATGAGCCTCTTTCGAAATAAAATATCTCATGTAGAAGTTCTTAACTTCCATTTATTTTCAGTCCTTGGATAGAATATGGAAGATTGGGAGAAAACTGAGTTTGTAATATTTCAGAATGGAGCGATGCAGATGATCATATAAGAACGAATTATTATCGAAATTAATTATTTGGCAAGAGTTTAAAGGCAGAATCTGGTAAAATAATTACTGGAGCATGTATTTGGATTCCAAGCCGCCGAACTATATGAAAATGAAATATGTATGTTTGGAGCAGAGCCAAAGTATATTTACCTGGTAGAAATGATAAATTACTTGGTGATATACTGTAATATACATTTTTTGAATGTTTATCGTTTATGTTTCTAAAGGTGGCATGACAAATTGCTGCATATTTTAATGTTGACTGGATCTTGTTTCGCTTGGGATCTTAATTATTTGAATAGCTGGCCAGACGATTCTCAATCATATAAATGTTTTTGGCAGAACAATGCTATTTTTATCCCGGACAATGTAGTGCGGATTGCTCATTTTTTATTTTGAATTACCTCCTATTTCCTAAGTTATATACATATATATATTTTTTATCTCATGGAGCGCACGAAAGGAAATTCCTATAATGTTCGTGGAACATCGTGCGTTCATAGGGAGGATAGGGAGAGGAGGTAAGTGTTGGAATTTTTCTTGAACTTCTGGAAGTTATAAATCTTGGAAATACTTCCAGTGGCAAATAATTCCAAAGCTTCGCCGTTCTATAGACGAACTAGTTTTGGTAGAGTGTTGTTCGAAAAATTTCAAGGTTAACGACGGAAGAATGTGCTGACTGGGCATGAGCTCGTCTGACTCGTATTGCTAGTGATGAAATAGTAGCAGAGAATTTTGAGGAACATTTTCCGTGAAAGTATCTATAGAAAAATGGGAGGTTGTCGACTTTTCTATGATGTTTTGAAGAGGTCAAAGAGTTGGTGAGTGTGGCATCACCCACCAGGCGATTAGCTCTTCTCTGTATGGAATCTAAGAGCATCGACGTATGCTTGGGTGCTGAACCCCATACATGAGAACAGTATTCTAGAACAGGCTGTATCTGAGCTTTGTAGATCATGAGAAGATGTTCAGATATGAAGTAGATTTCCGCACGGAACAAGAATCCAAGTTTTTGTGAAGCAGCTTTTGAGAAGGATCGGAAGGATGCTTTTTCCATGAGAGAGTACTGCTGATGGTACTACCGAGCATAGTGGTCTTGGTGTGAATGGTGAATTCAGGCTTGAATTCAAATGAGCTTTAGCAGCTGCACGAGCACGAGCTAAGGGCTGCTAAAGCCTTCTTTGCATGTGTGACACACAACTCTTTTTCACCTACAAGAAACATAATTGTTCTCTTGGTTCCGAACTTCATGACTCCGAACTTGAATTTATACGAAAATGAATTTGATGAATTTTAATAATTTTACATCATGATCCATAGCTTTTTTCATGAAAACAAGATGGGTAAAACAATGCAAAATGAATTGGGTTTGCTCAGTACAAATTTTTCGTAACTGCATCCGTTTATGACGAAACTACTTGCAATATTATAATAGCATTTTGTAAGAATACAATAAATTTTTTTATGATTTTATTTACTGTAGTGAAATTTATCCCAAATTTCTCCTTGTATGGTTCTTTGTTTGATCAATAACTTCATAGCATTAGAA